ATGCAGTTGAGCTACCCCCGCACTCCAAGGGTTTAAGTGCTCGTTTATGTCTAGGTGCTAAAAAAAAAAGGTCTACTCACCCAGTTCTTGGAGCCAGCTTGCTCTTAGACCATTCCCTGAAGCCTCTCTCCCCCTCCACTGCAGCACTCTAAGGATCCTTGAATCATCACGTTCTATACACAATGAGGGGACATTATCAAAGCTGGAGCAAACAGAATCTGGAGCAGCTGTGCATGGCAACCAATCAGCTTCTTTCTTTAGTTTGTTCAGTTAAGATTTGAAAAAGAAAGAGAGAAGCTGATTGGTTGCCATGCACAGCTGCTCTCATTATCAAAGCTGGAGCAAACAGAATCTGGAGCAGCTGTGCATGGCAACCAATCAGCTTCTTTCTTTAGTTTGTTCAGTTAAGATTTGAAAAAGAAAGAGAGAAGCTGATTGGTTGCCATGCACAGCTGCTCCAGATTTTGTCTGCTCCAATTTTGATAAATTCCCCCAATGTATGGGACATAAGGATGCTGAGGGACATACCATTGCTGCAACAGAGAAGGAGGCAATCTTTAAGGACCGCAGTAGCAGCCAGCTGGTTCTGTGGTTCGAGTGAGTATAACTTTTTTTTATCACCTAGACAAAAACAAGCACTTAACCCTCGTCATGCGAGAGTAGCCCCACTGCAAGGGTTAAGCACATTTTTGCCCGGAATTCTACTTTATGCCAAGACAACTCTAGCACTTCTGTTCTTTCTTTCAGCAGTGACCATATAATATGTGTATGCAGCAAAGCCCTAGGTTGTTCAATGATCTTGTCACTTTCTTAACAGCAGCCATCATTGAGTGCCTGTTGAAATCATTACCATTACTGCTTGTCTTTTATAGTTTGTATGATTTTAAATGGAATTTGTAAAGCCAATATTAAGCAGTGGGGGGGGGTTTTGCTTCCTGGAGGACAGTGATCAGGTAGTTGATGGGGTTTGTTTACAATACAATTAAGGATTTGTCATGGTTAGCAATATTGACTGTTTGATTGATCATTCAATTTTGGTAGAATCAATTTCACGGGATCCATCTTTGTACCAACATCAGAGAGTGTTAAAATCGCATTTCAATAAAGCCAATTAAACGTGTGCATGTGTAACTCAATTAGCATAAAAAATAAGAATAAAGGCAATTTGTGTAAACTGGAACACCATTTCACTTACCATATTTCTGTCGCAGTGGATGCTGAGCTCACAGCAAGTTTCGAATGTGATGAAAAATGATAAGAACATTGTTATAATTAGTTCAGGGAGAACTCAGAAGTAAACTTACCTAATTTATTTGCATAAATTGTCATTCTGTTATCTTTCAAACCAAATGCAAATTGGCTCCGTCCGATACAATGATGGTTATTTGGCTGAAAAGCCCTTCAATTTGCGTAGCAATCTGGTGCAGACTCTACTGTGAGGCGATCCTAGGTAACATCAAAATTCAGAATTATTCCAGAAATTAGCAGGTTTAAAGCATCAATTTAAGTGCTAATTGCAGTAGTAATGAGAAAAAGCAGTACTACTGCGAGATTTGCATCTTTTGCCACATCAGTATGCTTGCAGCGGCTGCTAACTGGGAGAGGATTTGGCTGCTAATTAAATAATTGTATGCATGCTGGCGTCCTTGTCTGATTCAGTAGATGAAGATTAATCCTCAGATAAATATGTTTGGCTGGTGTTCATAGTACCTGCAAAAATAGCTAGTGTGAGCGTATATGGCATCTCCGTGCATTTACGCTGTCTGTTTTGATGTATGGGCAGATAGCTGCTACAGTGCAGCAGAGTAGAGACATATTCATTTTAACGGCTCGACCATTAGTTATTGGAAGCTTTCTTATTCCTCACACGTTATGTTTATTCCTGTAAATTATACTAATATAGTGTTACTTAATATTAATAATAAAAGCACCAGTTTGTTGTTAGTAATATAACCTGCCAGTGCAAGTGAATCTTAATGATGGAACATTTCTAAATGTATTCTAATTTTTTGTCTCATACATAGTGTCATTTCTTGATCCCAACTTTTTAGATTTTATTTGCGTTTAACAACATGTTAGAGAACCAAGAAACTAGATGGAGACTTAAATCATTGGTTAAAATATAAAAGGAGTTTTCTCAAAACAATATTTTACATAAATTAAAAAAACAAGAAAGTCCAGGACGTCGTCAGTGCCAAGCCAAAGGTCAGAAGCCACAGCCAGTAGTCAGTCGAACCAGGTCAGGGAACACTGAGAACAGGATGAATGGAAACAAATCTGGAGTCAGGGACCAGTAGATCAGTTAGCCAGAGTCATACACAGAGAACAGGAACAACGGCAGCGCACTTGGTTGATCAGAACAAACACAAGGGTTGAATGAATGAAGACTGAATGGACAAGCTGGAGGTTAAATAGAAAGCTGGTGTTTAAATAGTAAGCTGGTGTTTGCATCATCATTTGGCAGAAGATTTGTCAGGAGTTGCAGAATAGTGATGTGTATGTGTTTGAGCATAAGAGGGCTCTCAAGAGGAACAACAGTGCCATAAACATTACATAAGCCAGGACAAAGTCGAGGACATCGTCAGTGCCAAGCCAAAGGTCAGAAGCCACGGCAGGTAGTCAGTTGTGTCAGGGTTTCTTACCCTTCCATGTCACGTTGCTTGCAGCATGCAAGCAACTGGACAAAGAAAGGTAAGAAAAACCCTGACACAACAAAAACAGAAATTCTGAATATTGGGCCCTTTTGACTTCCTGCTAGTGTCAGAGCTTGCTGCTAAGACCTGCACCTCATATTCTTTTAGTCTGTCACTGTGATTTACTGTCTAAGTGGCCTGTAGGAATGTACCAGAGGCAGCAAGCGGCAGGCAAGCTTCTGCTTTATGAATAAGTGCTAGTGCCATGCCTTTCATCTCTGCAGAATAAGTAAAACCACTGCAGGTACCTGCATTTTATACATTCTGTAGTTTTTTGGTCTCTTCAAAAGGTAGAGGAAAAGCAAGCTTTGGCTCTGTGAGTAAGCGCTAGTGCTTTGTGTTTCAGAATGTTGCGGCATTTGCCCATCTCTGTAGATTTTGTGAAGCTGCTGCAGGTGTCTGCATTTTATACCTACTGTTTTCCTTATTTGTTCTTAATTGTTTAAAAAAATTATCTCCCAGGTCTCATATTTACTCACAGTTGCTTCCTAAATATTTCCTTTTATTATGAGACGTAAAGGCAGGTGATAGGCAATAACAATATCTTAATAACCAAGAAATTTAATTTCAAGTGCACCTTTGCCAAGACTATGGACATTGAGGTATTAACATATTCTTAACAAAAAGTAAAAGAGCATTTAACAAGCCAGCCCTGACCTCTCTAGTTGTTTGTGTTGTAAAGTTTCTAACAGCTTAGAAAAACCTGTTGCTTGCTTACAGCTGGCAAGCTGTCAAGATTCTGCTCTCTGTTGACAATTACTCTGATTTTATTGCCTATGGTGTGAATAGGGATGAACAAATCAGGCAAAGTTTGGTTTGCAGGAGGTCCGATGAGCCTGCGGGAAGTCAGCGAATCCTGAACAAAGAGCTCTGCACCCCATTAATGTCTATGGGAGCCAAATTGTAATTTTATCTGGACTTTTTCAAGCCTATTTTGCAAACTTTTGTTGAATAAAATGGGCACGAGTAGCTGGGTACTGCATGAATCAATGCAAAAATATATGTTCTTTAGCAAGGAGAGGGTATTTTAAGGCTGCAAAATTGAAAATACACAAATCCTTGAAATAACATGCTTGGGGGTGCCCTAAATCAGTGTTGAAATGTTGTGATTTATGGGGATCTACATCGCTGGACAATGTTTTCGACATTGGAATTAGGGGACATTGTTTTAATTTTCTGTTTTTATGTACATTTCACTCCGTGGGAATAGGTAAGGTGCAAATTTCCCTATGGGGGTGGTGAATATCTGGGGGCCCACCTATAATAAAGAGGGCTTCCAGATTTCTGATAAGCCCCCCCTTCCACATACTCCCATATCCTCTTGGAGACCAGGTGTGGGGAGAAGGCCTGTATCCCCTCAACATGTGGACACGGTTCCCTGCAAGGGAGGGTGAGGCTTTGCCCCACCACCAGAAGGTACCCTCAATGTTGAATGCATGTGGCCTGGTATGATTCAGGGGGGGGTGCCTGCTTTCTCAGTACTGTAAACACCCCACTTGTAACCCAGAACCTAAAAATTATAGACCAGGCCCAGTAATGTCACATAAATTGATTGTTTTGTTTTTTTTTCAAACCAGCCCATAGACCATTTTACAAACCAGTGGTCACCAAGGTCTGTTATGGCAAAGTAGGTCACCTGTTTTTGCCAGATTTTTTTTACCAAGAAACACAGGCAATTAGACACCTGCTCATGTTTGTACTTATCACTATACTATCACTGTACTGTATCAGCTGCAGATTCTCTTCCAGCCTTAGCTGATGCTAAGATGCAGTGCACGCATAGTTCCAGGACAGTGCTCTTTTCTGGTTTGTGATAAACAGCATGTCTACCACTCACAAGTCCTCATTATTGTTGGGGCTTAACTATCACATAGCATATTTAACAAGCAATTCTCATATTAGTCGCTTTACTTGCAAATATTAGGCTGCGCATATGACTGGTCATAGATAACCATATTATTGTCCATTTCTTCTAAACTGTACATTATTGGAGGATGGTTGTGTAATACCTATGGCTACCTTATTTGCAGTAAAATTCGCTTTAAAAAAAGGAGGTATGTAAACGCTAGAAGTTTCTGCAAAGAATCAAATACCATTTGGTGGGAGTATTTTTGGCATATTTATATGTGATGTGTTTCCATCACTTTAATTAATATAAATCCAGAGTAAGAAACATTCTTTTAATTTATATTAAATGGGCATGCGCTTGGTTTTGATGTTACATCTGTTAGTAATTTTTATTCGTATTCTAAACCTGAGATTTGCATATACAGCCTTTTCCACTTGCTCTTTTAAATCTCGTTTCAGGCCTGGAACTTTGTGTCAAATCTTCCAGTTATTGATGTTCAGCTGAGCATTAAAGGATGGTGGGAGGATGCAATCCAAGCACAGAATGAGCTCCCCATTCCTATTATACTTCCAGGGGCTCAGGAGAAAAAATGGAACACGTTACATGCTGATCAGGAATATGTGCTGCTAGTAAATCTGCACAGGATTCGCACAGGATACAAAAAGGTATAGAGCTGGTGACCTCAAATGTATCAAGAATTATTGTTCAGATTCTTTTTAGTCATGATAAACTGCGCTCTAGGTTTATTAATATTCTATTTTTGTATTTTTGGTAGGCTTTGACTGCTTTGATTTTTATTTCTCAGAACACCTGGCATTTATTTTTTTTGCTATTACATTTAAATGCATTTAGGTGTTTTTGTAGTTAGTGAATCAAATAAAACCTTTTTTTAAAAAAATGCGAGCTGATAAGCCACTTTAAAAAGGAACTTTACCCTTATCTTAAAAATTATAACAAAGGCACCTTTACAAATGTTTAATGGCAGTCTACAAACATATACCCTTAGATAGGTCCAGGCATTTTATTTTTTGTATCCTTTTTTTTTGTTCTTTTCTTCCCCATTCTTCTCACTGTGGCCATTTTCACCAAGGACAGATTAATTTATCTCCTTTTACTTCCTGGACCTCTGACACATGTGACTAGGACATATGACAATGCATATCATCTCAAGGGGTAAAAATGCCTTTCCCTGAGATCTTGCGAGATTTGCCAGCAGTGTACTTTAATGTAACCTTCCCAGGATGCATCTCTTAGGCTTCAGCTACATCACAAATGCCTAAGAGGACCAGGAAATGTAAAATCAGTAATTGTGAGTAAAATTAAATAAAAATATGTTTGTTTACCTAATGAATGTAAGATGAGTTCATATTGGCATGCAGAGCTGCATGCTCATGTGATTATTAGTGAGAGTGTAAAGATCCACTTTAAGTACTGTATAATAGTACATTTTATAGGATAGAACTCTATTCAGTTGGATGTACTTAGTGTAGCTCAGGAATATTTAAGATCCACTTTCGGTAAGAAAGAAATTGTTTTACTGTGTCTGTAGACAAGAAACAGTGGTTCTCAAAGTCTGAACTGTGGGGGGAGGGTACAACATTACTGACCTGCTGCTACCATACTTTTGTATGCCTGCTGCCACTACCACCAACACCACCCTTGAATTGTATATTTATTTAGGCAATATTAGCAGGTGGCTAGCAGTGTTCAAATACATCCCCAGAATTTCATGAGTCCACTCCCACCCCAGCCTGCAAATAATTATTTAATGGCTTCCAGGCACAATAAGAACGCGTGCCTGCAAAGTACTCACCAGCTGCCTGCACACCTCTGTCTTGGGGCTGCAGGGTCTGAAGTCTGCATCAAATTTAAATAAAAGGTACCTTACTATGATTATTTATGTACATAAAACACTAGAGGTAGCACAATCTATGTGCCAATCTATCCATGCTGCACAGGTGCCACATGGATTGTTGCCCAATAATATACTACAATAACATATAAATCATGTATGCCGCAAAATTGTATGTGCTGCATTTGCCTACATGTGTTTTATTAAGTTGTTTTTTTAAGTGAACCCTTTGCTGTTTATGATACTGATTACATCTGCGGACATGTTTCTGGCAGTGTCAGTACAGTACTTGTGTCTGCAAACTTGTTTCTGGAAGTGTCAGTACGGTACTGATTGTGTCTGCAGACATTTATCTGGCAATGTCAGTACGGTACTGATTGTGTCTGCAGACATTTATCTGGCAATGTCAGTACGGTACTGATTGTGTCGGCGGACATTTATCTGGCAATGTTAGTACGGTACTGATTGTGTCTGCAAACATGTTTCTGGCAGTGTCAGTACATTACTGACTGTGTCTGCGGACATGATTCTGGCAGTGTCAGTAGAGTACTGACTGTATCTGCAAACATGTTTTTGGCAGTTCCAGTATGGTACTGATTGTGTCTGCGGACATGATTCTGGCAGTGTCAGTACTGTACTGATTGTGTCTGCGGACATGATTCTGGCAGTGTCAGTACTGTACTGATTGTGTCTGCGGACATGATTCTGGCAGTGTCAGTACGGTACTGATTGTGTCTGCGGACATGTTTCTGGCAGTGTCAGAACGGTGCTGATTGTGTCTGCGGGCATGATTCTGGCAGTTCCAGTACGGTACTGATTGGGTCTGAGGACATGATTCTGGCAGTGTCAGTGCGGTACTGATTGTGTCTGCGGACATGATTCTGATTGTGTATTGTTCTGATTGTGTATCTGAAGAGGGTTCTTGTTAACTTTTGCATGTAACTGAGCAAAAAATAGTTTATTATGCCACTGGATAATTTGCATAAAAGACTGAAATATTTATTTGCACTTTTTAGCACCTCTTTGTAAATAGGAGATCTGTCATGCAGTCTTCAGTATGTAGATTTATGGTCATGCTGTGCTATGAAGTAAAATTATGTACAGGTGGAGACTTCTTTTAAAGATGACATAACTACTAATCTGACCTTTTACAGTCTTTAGGCATTCCCCAGAGCCTGCTATTAAAAGTCTATTGCAGATGCAATGTGGAAAGTTTACAATTGTATTTATTATAATTTTGTCATTTACATGTGTTCATGTATATTTTTCAAGCTGTTCTAACTAAATCATTTCATTTATTTTAGGGAAAGCAGGACAGTAAAGCAATTGCACCCAAGTTCCCAAAGTCAAAGGATGAAGGCTGGATTTTAGTCCTTGGAGAAGTGGACAAAAAAGAACTTATTGCACTAAAAAGAGTAGGCTACGTAAGAAACAGAAGCACAGTACCCATTGCCTTTTACACTCCAGAAAATGTTGGAAGGTAAAAATTGACTACCTAACAGTACCAAACATAGCACTAATGACCTTCTAGCTCAGTTACTGTGTAAATATGGATTCCTATCTAATATGGCTAGGTCTGGCTATTATAGTGAATTGGTCCATGTATTCCCTGTATGCTGTAGTTTTTCTCTGGGCCAATCTTAATAACCCCTAAATGGAGCCTTTATAAGCAATAGTCCCCATAATAAGGCATCCTTCGGCAGTTGCCTCAGGCAGCCTCTCATTGGGGACAGCCAGGTGGTGGGGAGGCAGCAGAGGGCGATCACAGCGTCCCAAGCTCTTACCAACCTGTTACGCTATGTGTGGCTTCCCACCTATCTCGCAGACATCACCGGCTGCCAGGAGCTGAGCTGGATGCTCTGGCTGGTGTCCCACTGAGCTCCTAGCAGCCAGTGACATTAGTGAGGTGGACAGGATGCCAGACAGAGAATCACACTCCCCCCCCGGTAAGCATTTTATGAAAGCAGCCCCATCCCCTGGACAACATCGCATCAGAGAGCAAAAACCTAAGGGACAGCCCTGGGAATTGTCCTTGTTTTTTTGAAATGGATGCTTGGATGTAGATAGTCTAGATGGATTTGGGGCTTGCCAAAAGTTACCTACGTGTGACATTTTAAAATGTCAGTCACTGCAACTTAAGGACAAAAAATGGTACAGCTTTATTGTTGCCGGCTTTCCCCACTTTCCAAGGACAGTTCCAGTTTTTTAGGATTTGTTCCTGGAAATATCCATTTAATATTTCATTCCCACATATGCCATAATACAGTTCCTCTTTGTCTGCCTCTTCTTCTTGTTGTACCTTCTGCTTTCTCTATATGCTACTGTTAATACAGTAGCGATTTAATGGGAGATATGTTGATATTTGGTCCTCTTAGACAATGTTGCACGTGACCTCACTATTTAAAAAAAAATGTTGTCCTTAAGAGGCCTCTAACACATTGTGGATGCTGACAAAGTGGGATTCCTGCTATTTGCACCTGTCCCAGTTAGTGCGCTCTGCTATGCCAATTAGGTATACATCAGACTCTGGGAGTACTTTGAGGCATAGAAGCCGTACCTCACAAGCTGCATTCAAAATGGTTGTGTCTAAGTTACCTTCCTCTTCAGTATACTGGTGAAGGGGTTCCTTTTGACTCTTGTCATCCAGATCACAGAACATGCTCTTATATGACATGCTCCCACATCCACATTCATACTCTATTTAGTCAGAAATCTAGCAAATGTCCTTATTGAGTCCTTATTGAATCCCAGGATTTACAAGCCCACGTCTTTCAGTTGTGGTTTACAAGATTGTATAACTGTCTCTACTAATATACCTTTGCAATGTCACTTTGTTTAACATGACTCTATTTTTGCCTAGGTGGATATACACACTATACCTGATGAGTGACAGCTACCTTGGCATGGACCAGCAGTATGACATTTATCTGAACATTATTCCAGCCAGTATATCAGCTCAAGTCAATAGTGAGGTCTCTGCTCCCTTGAAGCGCATTGCACAAAAGTAACACGACCGTTTCTGTGCTACTGGAGATCTTTTGTTTTGGGTGAAAACAACTGTTATGTCATTCTGAACTGGATATAAATAACCAATGGACTAAAGCTTCCTTTAAAGAAGTCACATTTCAACCTTTTCACACACTTTACTACGGATGCATTGGAATGGATTGCCACATTCGCCTTATTCAAAGCTGCCTTTTAAATCATGTATGCTTTGTTTCATGAAACAGTGCAGTGTGATAAAGAAAAAAAGCATGTAATAGGTTACCCAGGAATAAATTTAAATGGCTCATATCCACTTACGTATTTTGTGTTAGTGAAGAAATATTAATGTACAGAGACTTGAGTAGAGAGAAAATCTCTTTACCAGACATAACTACAGTATGTCATACTAGTAAAGTTCCCTTGAGATACTTATAAGATTAATGTGACCATTCCTGTTTAATGTTTACATTTAAACAATATTCAATAATATCTAATGGAATGTTTCTCCGGTTGGTTTTGTACATAGTAAAAGCATGAAAATCTATTGTTGCCATTGTTTTTAGACAGTAGGCAACAATGGATTCTTTACCAGTTGTAGAGAACCTGGCAGGGCTTGAGGTCAAGTATGCAAACTATAAATTGCCAATAATTGAGTTTAAAAGACATAAAACTCCTTGAATGTTTCCACTTCCTAAAATCTGTGCACAATGTCTGTCTTTACCTGCTGGTATTTATATTAGTGCTAATATTGCTGGTTTCTTCCATCAGATAGTAATTGTGCAAAGGTTTTTATACATTCTTATGATTATAACCTTTCTCTGTTAAACAGGTTAAAAGAAAGGTTTTCTCTGTTGTAATAACAGACCACCTGATATTGTTGTTCACAACTTTCGGGATAGGACATTATTGATATCATTTATTATCTATTTCTGCACAGGAAACATAATGGTTCCTGACAGAATTGGTTTTCAAGGCTTACATCCCTGTGCAATTTATTTAATGCCTTAGCTGCTCACTAAAAAATGTGCATTGTAGTCAACCTTTTCATTTAAAGTGACACTACACTCAGGAGTTATATCTTAGAAATGCATTCAAGTAACTAAACTATTAACAAAATAGTTTCTTATTTGTGTATCATTCAGCTGTAGATCCTCAAATCATCTCTGAATTCATACTGACACTGTCCTTCCTTCTGGAGGGGGGCTACTTTTGTTCCCTATGGTGTCCGTGTGTGAAATAAAGTAGCCACTGTTTCAAGCCCGCTCCCTTGATGGATTACAATCTCAATACAGATTAGTAAACGAAATGTGAAATTGCAGTCCATCACGGGAGCAAGCAAGGTGGGTATTTTAACAACACACACAGGGACCATGGGGAACAAAAGTAGCCCCCCTCCAGAAGGAAGGACAGTGTCAGCATGAATTCAGAGATGATTTGAGGATCTACAGCTGACTGATACACAAATAAGATACATTTTTGTTGATAGTTAAAGTACTTGAATACATTTTTAAGATTTAACTCCTGAGCTTTGTGTCACTTTAACTGAGCAGTGACCTGTGATTTACTTTTCCAGAAAGGAATTGGGGGCTGTACTTATACCCAGTTTTGAATATCTATAAAATTACATTTTGTGATTGTCTTAAACAGTGACCATACACAACCAGTAATTATATTAGAATTCCAGGAAAGCTAATCATTTAGTTTTAGTTACCTAGCATTAGAGTTGCCAATCTGTCAACTCTATGCTAGCCTCTGTAGCCTTTTCTCTGTACCCTTACCATATTTAAGGACAACGCTGATCTCCTTTACACTTCAGACAGTTCCAGCAGACTTACAGAGTGGTACTGCACAAAATGTGTCATTTCTACACTCTGGTTAGCTTATTACCATTGACTTGACTAGATTGGTTTCGGCAATAACGGCATTTTATTGCTCATTGCACTACATTATAAAGAAAAATGTTCCTGGCCAGAACTTGAGAAGTCTGGGTACCAGGCACAGTAATGCTATCCAGTAGTGCTATAGAATGGATCTTATTTACCGTTTAAATAACATTGAACCTGAAGTGCACTCTGCCACCAAATGGGACCCTGTTCTTCTCTGATAAATGGTTCTTACTACTTGTGCCAACCTATTGGTTTATGTCAGAGTAGCTTTATAATAAAAGGTAAAATATGTGAATGCTGAAATCATCTTATTTACATAGTATGGATGTGAAGTAGTTTATGACTACCCACTCAGATACTTACCTTCACCAGTTGATTTTGGTGAAACTGCTGCAAAAATAAATTTTGGTTTGACTTGACAAACAGGGCAACATAATTGTCATCATAATTTACATGATCTTTATTGGCTTCCAATGCTTATGTTTATCATTTGTTTGCTTAAGTAATTACCAAAATGTGCCCAAAAATGTAATACATTCTTGTAAATGCCACATTTTTCACAGTTAATTGCATTCCTGCTGTGTTATGTTACAATTATTTTGTACTATATCTTGTATATTGTACATGAGATGGCCATCTTATCAAACAACAGGAAACTGTTCATGTAAACTATATACCTATTGTATCTGCTATGTACAGTGTAGTATAGCTGTACACTGTCATCTGTAAATCAAAAGAAATACCTTACTGAACAGGGAACATACAGTTAAGATTTTAGGTATGTCCACATGCTTCCAATGATGATTAATATAATATTTTGAGTTTGAAAAAAGAAATTGATTTGGTGCAATCCCTTGTGTTTTTCTTATTTCTTGAATGTCTTCATTATATATTCATTGTTGAACAGTGCTGCGACAGACACTCAATTTTGTCAAACTTTTCCTGTTTAGTTTCAAAGTAAAAAAGAAAGAAGTTGAAGAAATGTAATGGTTGGAAAACGGATACTTTCATTTTAAGGGTTTAGATTAGGATGAGAGATAACACGGCATGCAATGAAAAATGGGCTTGAAGACAGAAGACATCAGTGAAGGGATAGTGTTATTATGTGAGTGGATGTAGAATGAATTAGGATTATTACCAAAGGTGGAAAAAGTAATCGGGAAGTGGCCATATCAAACTAGAAAGAGGACTCATTGGTTACAAGTGTCAAAGTCCTCAGTCAATGCAAAGATCCAGTTACTTATACGTAACATCATGATTCAGCGCAAAATCTCCATGTTAGTCATATAGCAATTTTCAGTTAACCTCTTGCCGTCCGCCCGTAGTAAAAAAAACGGACGGACGGCACTGCTGCATTGGCGGGTTGCCGTCGCCAGACGGCATTTTTTTTCTGCTCACGCGGGCACGCACGGGCAGAAAAGACCCAACCATTGCACACACCCGTTACCGGGTGTTTCACATATGGGCGATCAGCGGCCCGCCGA